TGCTCTCTCTCAAGGTTGTTGAGAAGTTACGTGTGTGAAGAACTAGGAAAAGCGAAGGACGTGCCTGGCAGAGAGAGGCTGGGGCTGAGAAAGGATGCCTTCCAGAAGCCTTCACTCCTGTTCTTCCTCATTTGGACCAGGTGACCAGCAGTTCAAGGTCCAGCAACACCAAGTGTCCGGTTGGTGCAGAGACAGAGAGAGCCACGCTGACCTTGAATGTGCTGCCTGCAGCCACTGAATGAAGGGACCTGGGGTGGCGGCGGCTGAACGGCAGGATGCTCCATCTCTTTAGGGACAGACAGTGGGAGAATGAAAAGGTGGTCTGAGGTGGAGCCTGAAAATCACAGGCTGAGAGGGAGGTTCTTCTCTTCTCCTGCTGTAAGGTGAGGTGGTCTCAGTTGCCTGCAGGAAGATTGCACAGCCAACACTCTCCAAGATTTGTGGACCATGTCTGGACCCCACGTGTAAGATGCTGGACCGAGCACTTTACACAAGTTATCTTGTTCCAGCATCCTGTGAGCCAAAGGCAAAGGTCATACAATTACCACCATGTCTAGTTAAGGAGCTCACCCAGGACCACACAGCCAGTGACTGAAGAACTCAGACATTTTGACCCCAGAGCCTGAGTTCTGGGAGCCCTTAGTCTCTCCAGGGACAGAAATATTATCTCTCTTCAGCATTCATCCATACCTGAACCAAAGAGTAACTGTTACATTCCCATAAAATATCAAAGGTAAAAAGAGATTGGACAACGTGGTTATGCATTCTCCCAATTAACTTTTGCTTTCTGTCTGTTGGTGACAGTTTCTTTTTTAAAAAAACTTTTTATTTTGCATTGGGGTGTAGCCGATTAACAATGTTGTGATAGTTTCAAGCAAACATCAGAGGGCCTCAGCCATACATATACAGGTGTCCGTTTCCCCCCAAACTCCCCTCCCATCCAGGCTGCCACATGACATTGAGCAGAGTTCCCTGTGCTGTATGGGAGGCCCTTCTTGGTTATCCATTTTAAATACAGCGGAGTGATGGGCATGCACACACTGGCAATGGTTTCTACAAGCAAGAAGTCAGGGTCACCACGGAACAGAGTCTCGCCCACCCAAGTGCCCAACATGACACCAGGAAGAAGCAAAATCCATGAAATACGTTGTTCTCCAGACATGCAGTGGATCTCGTTCTTGGAGAGGCTCTGCCCTTTTAATGAGCTCTTTAGATAACTCTCTTGAGGATGCAGGAAAAGGAAGGTGCTGATGAGGCTGAAGTGTAATAGACAAGTTAAAGTTGAAAACGTGAGCCCCAGACCTGCTGCCGGGGAGCTCAACGTGCCCTATTCATTTCCCCCACTTTCCACCTCATTTATCAGGCATTCACAGTTGATGAGTATAGATTGTCAAGATAATATTATGCACTATGTGCCAGATTCATTTTCCAGCTCCCTCCAGGAGGAAAAAAAAATAGAATAATTAAAAAAAACAAAACCCTCCTACACTCTGGGATAATTACCAGAGTTCCTATATCTCCAAATCATCGGGGAGTGTCCAGAATTGAACTGCCTTTATTGAAAAGTTACATCGATTCAATATATAGTAATACAGGCAAAAATAATTAAGGCTTTGCTAGCTGTGTAAGACCTTAATCCGGATCTCACAAACATTCAATAAAGGCTGTATGAGCAGGGAAATAGACGGCTGACAGTCTTACCTGAGAAGACGAGCTGGCATAGAGAGAAGGGGTAGAGAGGGAGGGAGGAGGAGAGAGGAGGGGAGGGGTAGGAAAGAAGGAGGAAGGAAGTGGGTGGAGAGAGATGTTGGAAGAAGCAGGAAGAATTTTGGCCATTTGCTTATAAGCCTGGTGAACAACATTCAGCCAAACACTTCTGTGATGTTTGATAAACCCTCTAGGTGAGGCTTTGACAATAAAACTCAAAGGATCAAATTCTAGATACAGTGTGACATTTGGACACAAGGAAACTACTCTGCCAGGTTCCAAGAATGTGCAAGCTCTGTGGGTTCATCCCCTGAAAGCCAAGGCCAGAGGGGTGCATTTTGGTGTCTGATTTTTCTACATTGTGCTGACGCTGCTTTATTTCTCATGTCAAGGGGACACCTTGAACCTGATACCACCCAGATAGGCATTTTCCACTTGACCAGATGGATATGGCAATAGGGGCTAGGATGGATGGATGGACTAGAGCACTGGACACTGCACTTGGATTGGGGGTGAAGAGTAGAGATTGGGGTGACTCCTAAATTAGGGCTAAATTAAGCCTTCTGTTCCAGTGAATCAGCATTCCTTAGTGAATGGGCATCACAGATAGTGAAAGTCAAAGTCGCTCAGTTGTGTCTGACTCTTTGCGACCCCATGGACTATACAGTCCATGGAATTCTCCAGGCCAGAATACTGGAGTGGGTAGCCTTTCCCTTCTCCAGCGGATCTTCCCAACCCAGGAATAGAACCGGGGTCTCCTGCGTTGCAGACAGATTCTGTACCATCTGAGCTATGAGGGAAGCCCAGATAGTGGTGCACCCCAAAGGAAGATGAACCAGTTAGAAAACTCATCAAATTTCAGCTAGAATGGATAGAAACCCAGGATGGGTAGAGAGTTTGATTTGCTATAAATGATGCCTTGTAAGTAACTCAATAGGCGTGACACCTGGAATTTATTTTCCTCTTCCAGCTAGGTGATTTGAAACTGTATAATCTAGAAATTCTTTTAGTCTAATAATGAAAACTATCTTACACATATATCCATATTACAATTTAGTACATGTTTACATGTCAATTATACAACCCATTAATATAAAACAAATGATTCTTGGCCTCTGAAGCAAAATTTCAGCAAGCTTTTTGTTACATTCAGTGATTCAGTAAGGCAGCAAGCTTTGTGTTACGTTCAGTGATTAAGGCTTCAGTGCCTCTCATTGTCTATCTGCTAGACCAGTGTGGTGCTCAGGCACTTCAGTCGTGTCCCCTGACTCTTTGTGACCTCTTGGACCACAGCCCACCAGGCAAGAATACTGGAGTGGGTTACCATTTCCTCCTCCAGAGGCTCTTCTTGACCCAGGGATCAAACTGAGTCTCTTGCATCTCCTGCATTGGCAGGCAGGTTCCCTACCACTGCACCACCTGGGACCTGAGGACAGTGGGTTCCCATATCAGCTGAAGGTACTGTCACCCTGGATTGTTCCAGACAGTCCATCCCATCCTCTAGCCCTCTCTCTGGGTTCTAGACATTAATATAAGGAGCCTCTAAGTCTCACGCTTGTGTTCACTCTTTCCTTGCAGCCATGACTGGACTTGTCGTGCCCCCAATGTAAAGAAGAGGAAGAACTGCTTTCTTATAGCACAAAACTACTTACTCTGATGGACCAATAACAAAGTACTAGAAGCTGTCTGGGGAGAGTTGTGCCCCCAGGTGAACATGATGGACTGACCTGGCTTTGCAAGGAGCCACCTCTTAACCTGGTCTCCTGTTTCTCATGTAGCTCTGATGGTAGCTACACAAACTGACCCTCTTGGGAACAAGGACAAAAGATGCCATTGACATAGTCAGTGCTAAGAGCGGAAACGCAATTCTTTGTTACGAACATTATGAGAACCATCTTCCTATGTTTGTAGAATATTTAAGAAAAAAAAATTGGCAAACAATTCATGCTTAATATTTTGGATACTATTTGTTTTTCTTTGTAGGAAAAAAAAAAAGTTGAAAGTTTCTATTTTCTATGAAGCCTTTCAGATACCAATTTAGTTTATGCAGAAAAAAAAAATTGAACAAAACAGGGTACCAGCATGAAAGACTTTGTTAAAACGAAACCTGAATCGAATGATGAAATGTGGTTGTATGTGTGTTTGCTTATAGTTTAATCTCCTTTAAAAACAAACAAACAAAAAAAAAAACAAAAAAAGGGAAAAATTTTAAAATGTTTTACAATTATTTAAATAAATAAATGTGTAACTTATTGTAAGTAGAGGTAGAAATTCAGACCTTTTTGGAAGAGAGAGGAATTTCTCTTCCTGATGTAAAATGGAAGTGATGCAAACAGGTAGTAACAAGTTTAAAAGGTGTGTGATTATTACTGCAGTTACTGACTAGACTCTTATCCCCTGTCCCGCATCCCCCTCTTTTTCCATCATTTTATTGACCCACACAGGCAAGAATATGTACCTTATGTAGAACAACCGGGTGCAGAGACAAAGATGCAAGTCCTTGCACGTACACAAATACTCAAACCCACCCATCCATTCCCAGCTCTGTCCGCTTTCTAATAGCCTACATGTCCCTTTTGGTGTTCACCCTTTGTGAATATATAATTTTTACGAATTCACATTAGCTCCCACATTCTCCCCTGAGAAGTGCAGAGAATTCCCCTGTCTCAGTGCATCCTTGGCTTTGCAACCCTCAGGAAAAGGCAGGGCTCACCTTAAAGACAGCGAAAGTCATATGACTTCCCCAACCAACTGGCCCCTGTGGAATCTTCCTGTTAAGAGCCCCACATTCCCTCCTCTTTGGTGATCTACTTCAGCATAGAGATGTAAGCCCCATAGTACTTCAGAAGCAGGTTTGAAGAAGGTGACTCTGTCTCTCAGACTCCTCCTTATCAATATTAGGATGTCCGCATCTTTCTTTATCTCTGCAGATTTCCCCTTTCATGGCATTAAACTCACCTGAAAAAAAAAAACAAAAAACTATGTATCCTGCTTGACACAGTTTCCAGGCAAGAATGTGATAGGATGAGGAAGAAGCAGGTTATAAGCCCTAACTCTCTCCTCTGATATAAGAAATGGAAACCTAGATTCTTGAAGGAGCTGCTAACATGGGGCTAAGTCTTAAAAAAAAGTCTGTGTGGTCTTGGAGATATATCCAGACTTCTCTCAATGGCCAATAAGGATGTCATTGTTTTACAGGCCAGGGTTCCCCTTGTTGGCTAAGTGACACCACAGTAGAGGTGATACACAGACTTCGGTTTGGGGTATCAAGTTAGGATTCTAATCAGAAATTGATGCATCTCTCCTGGAGAAACATCTACAGCGCATCTGAGCCAAGTTTAGATAACATCATAAATTCTCCCTCCCTTCCATTTGCCCACATCTATTCAACCCTCAATGGTCTTATCTGCCTTTATTTCAGAACTGCCCAATATGACCCAAATATTATTTCTACGCACATGATAATCCAAGTTTGGAAATCTGGCATGCTTGTAATCCTGTTGACTGTCCCTCACAGTCAGGGCCTAAAGCACCAAAAAACAAAAAACACAACAGGGAAACACAAGAGAATGTTCCCCAGTGAAAAATCTGATGGAAGAGGAAGGGTGTGGATGCCAACCACCACCATCCAGAAGTGAAGGCAGAATGAAAGTAAGCATGTTTAGACCTGGATTCCAGCCAATCCAACATAAGGAAATGTTTTTTTAAGTAGCATTGCTTTTAGAATCTGTGAATTTTGCTCTTGCATGAAGATGAGTGCAGTACTGTCTTCAAAATGATTGTAGAATTTCTCGGTAGCTTTACACCGAAAAATGTGTGTAACTAAATACAAGACATCTTTGACCATTCAGCTAGAACCTCAGCAGCGACAGATCTATTTAAGTGTACAAATGTGTGTAAGGATAATGTTTAGTGTACTAATAAATTAAAAACAAACCTACTCTGTCCTCTTTAGTCATTGCTGTTAAATCATTCTGGTTCCAGGTTATTTTTGTGCCACTTGAAATAAGTATTTCTATAGGTAACTACAAATTCTATCCTATCTTTGTAAAAGGAGCTGTGTTAAGATTTTTCATTTAAAGGGACACTTTACTGCATTATTTATCTCTCTCTCTTTTTTTTTTGTTACAGCATCATATTCTCCCCAGTTTTTCTTTGCACCTTCCAATATGCATGGTTTAAAAACCATCCCCTTCTCTAACTTTTGTACAGTAAGGTCTCATTTTCAAACTGTATAGTTTCATTTTATCATTTCTGCTTTGTCAGTTATATACAGTATAAAGTTGCTATGCACAGAGCTTTTTGTAAAGACAGCTTTTTTGTTTACTGTTTTTAATGGTCTTACTTATGAAAGAATATCTTGTTTGTAAAATGAATATGTCTACTTCAGTTTTAAACTTTAAATTATCCTAACAAAAAATAAAATTTTTGTACTGTAAAAATAATTTGGAACTTGTCTCTCTCTTTTTTTTAAGTGGGAAAAAATCAAGTTTGGGATTTATTCTTTCTTTGCGGGGGGCGGGGCACAGAATTTATACTTAAGTTTGGGGATTTTCTTCATGGCTGCTAGTCCCTGAACTCTTGTTGGGAAATTTTACTACAGTTTTTGCTTACTTGGTAAGTGTTCTGTGGTGCTGACTTGGAGGAGAGAATACATATGACTTTTAAGTATTTTTCTGTATATATTTATGTATCCATCTAGTCAAATCCCTTCATAAAAACCCAAATGATCCTACTTCCAATGTTGCACTTTGGTTATACAGAATTCTTAGGATAGGTGAGTAGTCTATTTAGATTTGAAACTGCAAAACTGAACAAATGTTATAGCTGATCCATCAGGTACAGAGTGAAGAATTGGAGGCTGGACAGAGACGTGATGTTTAGCTTTAGATCACAGGAAGAGAGCAAGTCTCATGCCTCTAGGAGGAAATAATTCATGGAAAATAGCTTGTCTAAGAAGAGAGAAGTACTGATAGAGCCCAGAGAAGACAGTGATCACAGGTGGAGTGGTCAGAGAAGTTCCCATGGTGGGGATAGAGCTGGATGGTCCTTCAAAGGATGGTAGAAATGTTGCGGTAGGGGTTGTCAGTGGGCACTGCAGAGGGGAAGGCTATCATGGACAAAGATGAGTAAAGGGAAATTGACATAGCACATTTAGGAGAATGGGATTCTGAATGTGGTTTTTCCACCAAACTATTCACAAGCCTACTCATAATAGGATGGTTTGATTTCTTTCTACAAGGATTAGAGATCTGCAAACCATAGAAATTGTGTTCCTTGCATAAGTGAATGAGATGCTATTTTTTGTTTATTTGTTTTTTAAAGATTCTTTTAAAATGGAGACCATTTATTAAGGTCTTTAATGAATTTGTTACAATAGTGCTTATGTTTTATGTTTTGGCTTTTGGCCATGAGGCATGTGGAATCTTAGCTCCCTGACGAGGGATCTAACCCACAACCACTGCATTGGAAGGCAAAGTCTTAACCACTGGACCGCCAGGGAAGTCCCGGATGAGATGCTGTTTCTTTTTTTTTTTTCATTTATTTTTTATTAGTTGGCAGCTTATTACTTCACAACATTGCAGTGGGTTTTGTCATACACTGACATGAATCAGCCATGGAGTTACATGTATTCCCCATCCCGATCCCCCCTCCCACCTCCCTCTCCACCTGATTCCTCTGGGTCTTCCCAGTGCACCAGGCCCGAGCACTTGTCTCATGCACCCAACCTGGGCTGGTGATCTGTTTCACTATAGATAATATACATGCTGTTCTCTCGAAACATCCCACCCTCGCCTTCTCCCACAGAGTCTAAAAGTCTGTTCTGTACATCTGTGTCTCTTTTTCTGTTTTGCATATAGGGTTATCATTACCATCTTTCTAAATTCCATATATATGCATTAGTATGCTATAATGTTCTTTATCTTTCTGGCTTACTTCACTCTGTATAATGGGCTCCAGTTTCATCCTTCTCATTAGAACTGATTCAAATGAATTCTTTTTAATGGCTGAGTAATATTCCACTGTGTATATGTACCACAGCTTCCTTATCCATTAGTCTACTGATGGGCATTTAGGTTGCTTCCATGTCCTGGCTATTATAAACAGTGCTGCGATGAACATTGGGTGCACTTGTCTCTTTCAGATCTGGTTTCCTCAGTGTGTATGCCCAGAAGTGGTATTGCTGGGTCATATGGCAGTTCTATTTCCAGTTTTTTAAGAAATGAGATGCTGTTTCTAAGCACTATTCAAAGATAGCTACTGTGGTTTTGCTTTTCTCCTCGAAGACTAACTCTCTGCTTAGACTGTGCATGTGTGCGTGTGTGTGTGTGTGTGTGTGTGTGTGTGTATGCTCAGTTGCACAGTTGTGTCCAGCTCTTTGTGATCCCATGGACTGTAGCCCACTAGGTTCCTTTGTTTATATAGTTTCCCAGGAAAGAATACTAAAGCAGGTTGCCATTTCCTTCTCCACGGGATCTTCCCTACCCAGGGATCAAACCTGCATCTTTTATGTCTCCTGCATTGGCAGGCACATTCTTCACCACTGTGCCTCTTTGGTGCCTTCTCAGCCCTCAGGTCATAGTTTAAGTAGGATCTCCTCAGGGAGGACCATGGATATTTCCCACCTAGTCTCTTTAGCTGGACTCTGTGTCCTTGTTGTAACTTGTGGTCATTTGTGGGCCACTTTAGACTGAAGGTTCATAACAGAGCCCATATCTGTCTCAATCCTGGATGTGGAACATCCAGCCATGTCTGAGATGCCCAACAAATACCCAGCACTTGAGATGCCCGATGAATGCTTGTTAAATCAGCAAATGGGAGACAGAATTCTGATCCCTAGAGGCAGCCTTGCTTTGGTGTGTCGGGACAGGTAGCTGATGTGTCACAAATGATAGGAAACAGCATCACTTGGAGAATTCACTCCTTAGGGACGTCAATCAACTAATCCAAAGAAGTGATGAAATGTGTCTATAATATAAAGTGACTGGCCGTTTAATAAACATGGGAAACTCAAAATGAGAGGGAAGTGAGGAATAAGAGATCCCTTGCTTGTATCCTGTTGAGTATCACTTTGCCCCTTGGCCCTGGAACACTGTAGATTCTGTTGATGCCCAGATGTCATTCCAGAACTAGAATCAGGGGCTAGAGGAATGTACATCCCAGTCCTATTCCAGATAGTCCATTTGACTTGTTGACTGTACACATGAATCTCAAAGAGCTTATAGGTTCAGCATGGCTGAGGGCACTGAAAGTGAGACGGTGATAAGATTTGAAACTTAAAGAACCAGGTGGGGATCCGGTTCTAAAAGAACTTCATCACATCAGAGAGTTTAGTCTTCATCCATAGGATTACAAGGTATGTAATGGAAAACCTAAAAGAACTTAAGTCAAGGAGTTTACATGATCCACTTGATGCTGTAGAAAATCATCATAACTGCAATACAGATTGGAGCAAGTGCATGGTTGGAGGCAAGGAGACAATTAGGCAAGGGATAAAAGACAGCTAACAAGGACCAGGGAGCTGGACCATCACTGTGACTGGTATCCTTTTGGTTGGTCAGTGTCTGTGCCATGAGTGAGTGAGTGAAAATTGTTCAGTTGTGTCTACTCTTTGCGACCCCATGGACTATACAGTCCATGGAGTACTCCAGGCCACAATACTAGAGTGGATAGCCATTCCCTTCTCCAGGGGATCTTTCCAGCCCAGGGATTGAACACAGGTCTCCCACATTGCAGGCAGATTCTTTACCAGCTGAGCCACCAGGGAAGCCCCATAGCTTCTGTCTGTGCCATGCCAATCGATAAATGTTTTAAAATTACTCCTGCAACCTAGGAGAATATGGCAATAATCCAGATGAGAGTGAGTCATACTTGAACTAACGCTTGGCAGTAGAGATGGAAAGTAGAGGAGAGATTTGAAGGAAAGCTTTGCAATTTGATATGACTTAGTGATTGATTAGATGCGAGAATGATGGTACTAGGGTGACTAGGATAACTCCCAATTTGCTAGTTAGACTACTGGATTTTGTGATACCATTAGCTGAAGTAGGGGAAAAGAAACATATTGCACAGAATGGAAAGATATGATGATTTTAAGTTTGGGCACATCTGTTACAGTTTCACCTTTTCTTTCTTGGTTAGCTGAGGATTGCTTTCTACAGTTTATTCAGGAAGAATTTGGAAGAATTATACTAATTGGTTTATGCATATCCAAAAAAGAAATGGCTGCTCTGTTTTTATTTGATTGGCTGTTTGTGCTCAGTCGCTCAGCCATGTCCAACTTTTTGTGACCCCATGGACTGCAGAACACCAGGCTTCCCTGTCCATGGGGATTCTCCAGGCAAGAATACTGGAGTGGGTTGCTGTGCCCTCCTCCAGGGAATCTTCCCAACCCAGGGATCAAACCCAGGTCTCCCACACTGCAGGTGGATTTTTTACCATCTGAGCCAGACTGGCTGTTTAGTTAGATATAAAAATTTCCTGAGTTAAATTCTCTCTATTTGAGGACTTCAAAGGAGTTTATAAAAAGTATCTTCTCATGTTGAATGTCTCTGTGATAATAACTGAAGCATGGCTCCTTTTCTCATTCTCTCTTTTTTTTTTTTTTATTGCCCAGGGCAATTCTATAGTTTCTTTT